TAAGCTTGATGGAGTCTACACTCGGAAGCTGAGAGCTATACTTAACATCTCTTGGAGACAACACCCAAGCATTATGAACTCTTCCCTTATATTTCTACAATCTTGCCTGAACGCAGAATACGCTTTTCAAGACACTGCTGTCAAGCAAAACAAGAACTCGTGATTGGCCTATTGCTCTGGAGGCCTAGTCATGGTGCAAGACGGGATGATTGCACAGTAAACATCTACATTGACCAGCTCTGTTATGCCACAGAATTCCACCTTAATGACCTTCCGACCTTGATGCAGGCTCGTGATGGCTGGCGTGATAGACGCGTGAATGTCTGAGCTCGTCCGAATAAATAATTATAGAGTGTCAGAAAAAAAAAAAAAATAAGAAAATAAAAAAGATTGACATCATTTAAAATGTGAATATCTGAGTAACTCCATGTCCCAGGCAAACTAAAGCCTTCATGTTTATTTACTAAAATTCGAACAAGATATTCAAAGTGATGTAGATTTTATAACCGATTTCACAAAGCTTCACAAATGTTCAATATGCGCCTCACCTGTGACACGTCAATTCGGCAGCCCAGCTCCTGCCAAACACGTTGTAGCATGTGTTGCGCAACATTCTCTCGCTCCTCAGTGTTTCTCGCTCTTCTAGGCTTATAGGAAGAGTCGGAGATACAGACCTATCTATTCACATAGCCCCATAGAAATCGGTGAGCTGATCCTGGTGGCTAGTTCAACAGCACATTGTCATTCTCACTGGCACGCTCGATCCATCTTCCAGGTAGATTCTCATTGAGATAAGTCATCACAGTCAACTTACTTTTTATACATTGTATTAAAATTTGAGACGCGAATTGGCTATGTTATTAGACTATAAAATGATGTCAATTTGTTGGTGGAGGTACCATGTATATTCGCAAATTATTTGCAATGATTTCTTGCCACTTGTCAGGCAAGGCTTCGATACTTTTTAGTAAAATTCAGCTGGTTTTCATTCGAGAATTTTCCCCATCCTATTAGAGCGTTTTGTAGCGACCGAAAAGAAGGTCATAATCGGTTGGTACAAGGTCAGTTGAACATGGTGGATGCGAGATAACAGACGAATCGAATCCCAAAGATTTTGTTTCTGTATTTCTTGCTGTAGGCGACTTTGTTTTGTCAAGGAGGAAGAGGACATTTTTCCTTTCGATGAGCACAGGGCTCTTTTCGACCAAACCTTTATGGACACGTTACAGATGCTGGACGTAGAAATGTGCTGGCATTATTTACATTATTCGCACTGTTATCCTCATGGCCAACCCTTTATTTTGTTCTAGTTCCACGTGCCATGCCTCTTCCGGGTGTCTCAGTTATTTGCAAGTTTTTGATTCACTGCTTCTGTTGCCTGGTATTGAACTCACAAATCTTTGGGTCTAGTCACTGGATCTAACCAACGTCTTTATCCACTGAGCCATTTAGTGTTTCAAGGCGTTTTAAGAACTCTGGATGATTTTACCTTTCTTCCGTGGATCGCAGGTTTTTTGTTGTCAATTCTGTTGTTAATTTACTGGCTTTTGCATTGAACATGACGACCTTGAGGACTGGCGCTACATGATCACAAAGAACAGAAACCACATTATTTCATGACTTTCAACTACATCAGCAACTTAAAATGGATATCACGTGTAACTCACGTTTAAAAATAATGACATCAAGATCTTGATAATTCAAAATATATCAAACAAAAGGTAAGAAGGGAAACATTCATCAGTACTGGCAAGAACTATAACAGCTACTGGACCTCAGAAGCCTATTTTCCTGAAGAAAATTAAGAGAAACATTTTATACATTTCAGCCGAATCTAGTCCTAGCTGCCCGGTGAATGCATGCCGAATGTTTCCTTATAAGGAAACAAATAATATTACTGTTATCATTAGAGAGGAAGAGAACAGGTGAAAGATTTTGTTCACAGCCGGATGGTCAAGGAGCGAAGAAAAGCGTTACTCGTAGCAATGAATGTCGAATGTTTCTTTATATGGAAACACTTGGTATTAATATTATTATCATTATCGTATATTATTATTATCGTATATTATTATTATCATTATCGTATATAATCTAATTTTCATGGTCTGTTAAGGAACGCTTCGTTAGGATTATACATTCAGCATGGCAACGGGTCCCACAAAACGGAAATTACTTATGGCTCAACCTATATATATATATATATATATATATATATATATATATATATATATATATATATATATATGGTACTGTAGTTTTAATATTTAGTTGAATAAAGAGAAAGTGTGGTAAGAGTGTGGTCAGGGTCTCCCTTATGTAAGTTAAATTGAATTTATTTGTAAGACGTTTGGTATTCTATCTGTTTTAACTTAGAGAAGAAGGAAGGAAGTAAACAGCTCCCCCCCTCTCTGCCCGCTACCGTGGAAGACGAGCCCACACAGACTAAGAAATTAACTGGGGCCCCCTAGTGGGACAACCACACCTAAAACGGAGACCGAATGTCTTAGGCTGTTTGACGGAAACCATTAAGTCTACATAAACAACATTTTACACAGATTTTTGAACAAGACATTCATCGACAAATAAAATCACAAGGAAATACTGCATTCT